CATTAAATATTTTTGAATGCATTCATTTGACAATCACAATTTTATTTATTGAATTGTCTATTTTTGGTCATTGTTTATGTTAAAAAATGTTATTTTTGTGTCGATCGTTATATTTGTTCAAATAATTGTTATGGGCAGGTTACAATATAAAAAATGTTTGTCATAATCATGTCTTGTGATTATTTGACAGGAGTTTTACTGTTAAACTGTAAGTGTATTTAATTTAGTTATAATGTAAATACAATACAAATTAAACCAAGATTTAGAATAATTATCTTTTTGATCCGTATAGTAATGTCTGACTGGACCTCGTGTCTCTTTATGTTCAACAAATTGGGCCCCGAGGTCAAAAAGGTTAAGAACCCCTGATCTAGTCTATAGAAGACATACGTTTGACCACGTGCTGCCCCATTACCATGTTGATATGTTTTATATCAGTCACTTCAGTTGTTTTTTTTAAGGTATAACTTCATAAAATTCAGTTTTAATAGAAAAAAGTTACATGTAAGTAAATAAAAACCTTAATAATTTGGGTTTAGCTCCAGTGTAATCAGCTGAAACACATGACTTCAGAGCAGACAGGTTGATATTTCTGCCAGAGATCCAACAGAGATGTTTTAACTTTTTGTCTGAAGAAAAGTTCAGGTATTAAACTCTCAGCAGCGTCCTTCTAGCAGCTGTTAAAGTTCGGCTGCAAACACGCAGCATTAAGATGCAGCCCGGGCTGCAGCAGATCTCTGAAGCTGATATAAGGGTGAGAGAGGACAGGAAGATGGAAACAACTGATCAGCACCAGTGACTCTAAAATCTAAAATACCATCAAAACGTTTTGCATTATTAAAAAATACATTTAAACTATTTTCAGACCTTCTTTGCCAAATTATTTAAAATAAAACGATGAGAAAAAGAAATAGAGGAACCCTGACTGGCTCGAGTAAAAGCTACAAGGGTTTGCTGCTGCACAGACCCTGCAGGCAGACACCGGAGCAGCAGCCGGACTCCACTCTGACCTTCTTCCTTACGGATGAGTCAAAAGTTCATTGTGGCCAAAAAAATCACAACGCAGGTTTTTGGAGTGTCGTTTACAAACAGGCCACGACTAAAAGCTGGAATAAGTGATTTTATAAAATCACAGTGACGTGATGTCAAACATCAACAGGATAAAATAAACCTCAGAACTGCGACAAACTAAAACAGAAATCTGATTTTACAAAACTGCTTATTTGAAGAAAAAGATCAAATTGTTTCTAAACGTAGCGGTTGTGTAAAGTTTATTCACTTTGCTTGAGTTAAACCCAGCTGTAGGCAGAAAAGTGGAACTTACGTGGGTTTTTCATTGGTGATGAGCACTTTGACTTTGTTCAGGGCCTTTTTGGCCCCAGTGGGGGCCGGGGCAGCAGCGGGGGCAGGTTTGGTGTGTGCTGGACTTGCATGGGGGCTGGCGATGTAGACCTTTTTACCAGTGCTGCCTGGTGGTTTGGAGTGGGAGAAGTCTGTGATGAAGACTATTCCTTCACTGGTCAACACTGGCAAGGAGGAGGACAGAAAACTGAACAAAAATATGTCCAACAAACGTTTGACCTTTAAAAAACTGGTTGTAATAAACACACACATATTATATAAAATGTATTTGAAGTCGTCACATTGTTAATCTAGGACACAACTATCAGCTTAACAGCTCAGGGTCGAACCTCCAGCAATTTAAAGTAATTATTAGGGTTTCAACAATCCATATATCTGTATGAAAAATTTATTTTATCAACTTGTCTTCTGAAGATGCTCTGTGTTGAAGGATCAGTGGATCTGTGTTCGACTACTCCACCTAGGCTGCATTTTTGAGCACAGATCCACTGAGAAACTTGCTGTTTCAGCAACA